TAGAAGGAGGGAGAAGAGCTGTGAGACCACAGAAGAAACAACTTCTGACAGCGCATATGATGAAAAAAGACTAAATTGGCCAAAAAATATTCTTCATTGGAGTGCAGAAGATTGGAGAAAAATGTTATTTTCTAAAGAGACCCACTTCCTAGTGCAGGGCCACCGATCAAAATTCGTACGAAAGGCAGCAATGAGATCACTTTCAGCTAGCCATATTAACAAACAGTTTAAACATCCCACCAAAAAAATGTTCTTGGCTGTTTTTCATACTAAGGAAACTGGCACTCTTATTCCTATGAAGGTATGATGAACAGTGAAAAGTACAAAGCCATGCTAGGGCAACGCTTACTATAGAGCTTGACAAAGTACAGGCTCCAATTTTTCACACAGATTCATTGAAGGTTATAATGAAATACTCAGGGATAATAATATAACCTTTTTGATTGGTCTGAGAATTCACCATGAACTTAATCCCATTGAAAATTTGTGGGCAATATGTAAGGCTAAACTGCAAAAATTTGACTGTACAGACAAAACAAAAATGGTGGAAGCAGTGATTAAGAGCGTGTTTAGACATGAAGCAATCACAAACAATTGCAAAAAACTTGTGGAATCCATGTCTAGAATACTCCAGAACTCATAAAAGTAAAATTCACTTCACGAAGTCATAAAGTTCAATTGTCACATTAATTCGCACAATACTGTATGGGATGGAGATAGGTCATCCAAGCTTTAGATCTTGTAGAGGTTTGCAAGTATAAGCGATTTGTTCTGAAGTTTTTTTCTTGTGGCATCTTAATACAATTTACTATTTTTATTGGAAATAAGCCACAATTTTAACTTTAAAATGTACGTTTCGTTTTCCTACGAGTTGTTTTGTTTTTATAAATTTTAATTGAGTAAAATATGTTAAAACTCTGTTTTCTTTAAGTCTTATCCAATAACGCTGCGATACATTTATTACGCAGCTGTGTGTCTTTCAAGTTTTAGCACCTATGCTATATATCTGAACAGCTATAAAGTTTGCTCAACCTACGAGTTTTATTTAAATAACGTATATGAGATTTTTATTGCATTATATTCTGGCAAAAGTGTAATTTCCCATTTGAAAATTATACGATTATAAATTTGATGTTTAAAATGAAAATTTAGGCAAATTGGCTCAGATTTTCGTAACATATCAATCAACTAATCATTTAAAATTTAGGAAGTATATGCTTCTAAGTATTAACAGAATAGAGAAATGTTTATTTATAATTCAATTATGACGTGTATATACATACCCTACAGAAAATTTTGTAAAACATTATTTGTAGCAAATTAAATTTTCTACGACTTTATTTTGTATGACTTTTTATCGTAAAATGGAAAATAAAAAACAGTTTATAAACCCTTGAATCTGCAGAAAGTTAATTTCAGAAGTTCGGGGAGTTCTGGAAATTTGAAGTTTTAAATCTGTATCCAAAGTTTTTCATGCTTTTTCCAGCCCCAATCTTCAGGATCACAGTGTTTCCTGGTGGTCAACTCTAACAATGTCGAAACGAGCTGCATCTTGTGTTGGCGGATAAGTTAAATGTAATTTTGGTCACTGTCTTGGCGAACGTTGGTACCCTCAAGATGGCTTGGCTTTACTCACTGAGAAATAATGCTGTTCCGCTAGCTAACTCAGGATGTTTCTGTAAGATGTTAATTTAAGTTTGCTGATCTTGTAAGCTACTAATGTTGTGTCACATACTGAAAACATGGAGAAACAGCAAATTATCTGCAATGACGTCGCCATATATAAAACTTGAAGGACAGTATAATTGATAAGACATTACACTCTTTAGAAGGTTTAAAAAATTGGACACTTTGGATACACAGCATGATGCTAACTCTCCCTTCCTAATGCCGGAAGCAAGACAAGAAATCAATGTCCCTACAACAATCACAGAATCATGGATTTGGAATGCAGCAAGCGAAGAATGGATGATGACTGCATCTGCATTAGATTCAGCCTGGTCGACACTAAAACCTACTTCTGATAGAGTAGTTGTAAGAAGGTCGATTGAGTTTGTTTTATTCTTTTTATTATGAAAGAAAATTTATCTTGGAATAATATTGGTACGGTGCTTATTAAACTTTATCTCTGCCTATTGCTGTTGCGTTTCGTGCGACGCAAGCGCACGAGGTGGGGTACGTTTTATGGTGACGGAATGGGTCGATAAATTAATAATAATAATATATTTTGCTTGTGTGAGTCCATTTCAAATAGGTAAATAAATAATAAATAAGACTTACTCACAATCAATTTAATTTAACTATCAGACGACCGGTTTCGCTTTCTACAATATGCAAAGCATCTTCAGGACTCGATACAAAGTTAAATAAATAGATGCTGGTACACTATTAATTAATGGATGGTAGAACATGGTTGAAACTACTATGTATTGTTGTATGAACTATTATGTTTTCATTGTGCCCAAGACTGAGATGTAGTGCTTAAAAGTCCTTCCCCCTTTTAAATTTAATGTTTGTTTCGTCCCTTCTAAGTGTTTTCTGTTTTAGTGTGTTTTAAATGTCCTAATTTGTTTTAATTCTAATATTTTTATTTACTCGAACTTGCAATAATCTACTATTTTGCCAATAGAACTTTATCAAAGAAATTTGATAATTACAAGTTGAAAAATAATTGCACACCCACACAATTTGTACATCTAAACTTATTCATTGTCATAAAACTGTCACCTTCATAAAACAATTACTCAATAAATAACACACATTCTCATAAATATTATCTCTCGAATAAGTATAAATAACTTTTAAATAATACAATGGTATATAACATCACTTTCATTTAACAAACAATCACACACATATCTCTGCTTCATTTGGATCAAATCTATCTCCTCAAGAACTTCCCGTTTACTGTCAAACAACTACAATAGCAGAATTGAATTCTTCATTCAACAATACATAGTAGTTTTAACCATGTTCTACCATCCATTAATTAATAGAGTACCGGCATCATTTATTTAACTTTGTATCGAGACCTGAAGATGCTTTGCATATTGTAGAAAGCGAAAACGGTCGTCTGATAGTTAAATTAAATTGATTGTGAGTAAGTCTTATTTATTATTTCTTTACCTATTTAATAATAATATATTGTTTAAGAAAATAATAAATTGATTTAAAATGATATGAATAAAAAATGTATTTAATAGAAAACTAAGTCTAATCGTTCGTTTTTATTTTTCTTACGAGTAATCAAGAACCCGGCCAACTTCGGAACGCTGTAAAACCCAGAAAAATTTATAAAATTATACAAATTTGTAGTGAAAATGATTCGTTGCACAATCCTCTATAATATTGCTCTGATTTCATTTTATTGTCAAATTACTGGAGAAAAAAAGTTGGGCCGAAAAGAAAAATTAGTTCAAACATTTTTAGTTATTTTTATTACTAACTTTTTTATTTTCCATTTTACTATAAAAAGTAATAGGAATAAATTGGTAGCCATTTTATTTTGCTACAAATAATGTCTGATAAAATTTTCTGTAGGGTTGCTGGTAGATAAAGCGCGAAAAACCCTTTGTTACTCTTATTGCAAGAGGGCCAGTAATTCAAGAACCCGACCAACTTTGGAGCGATGTGAAAAATCCAGAGAAATTAATGAAATTAAACAAATTTGTAGTGAAAATTCTTTACCTATTATATATTATAATTATTTATTTAAAATAAACGCGTTTATGATGCTGCTATGATGTCATTTTATTGTTAAATTACCTGAAAAAAAATATATAAGGGCCCAAAGAAAATGTGTTTCAAAATGTGTAGTTATTTTTGTTTATAATTTTTTTAATTTCCCATTTACGATTAAAAGTAATAGAAATAAAGTTGTAGACAATTAATTGTTTCTACACATAATATATAAATTTTTTTTATAGGATTGCTAGTTTACGAGATACAGCTCGAAAACCCTTTCCCTCTTTTTCCAAGATGGCGGCCTGGACAAGAGTGGCGGCCTGGACAAGAGTTGCGACCCCACAATTTTGAACTTGAGCTTATACTCACCCTTCCAACACATAAAAAAAATTAAATTGCGTCCCCTAAGAAATTCATGCTAAGACATAAAGAATGTAACTTTCAAGGGATTAAAGAGGAGACAATTTCTAGGAAAAGAAATTTTCTAGGAAAAATTGTTCAAGAGTGGATCAAATATTCACTATAATGAGGTTAATGAAGAAATGTTAGGAATACAACAAAACATTACACTAGCCCTTTATCGATTTCAAACAAGCTTAGTGTAGCATCATATTAATGTAGCTGTGGAAGGCAATGGCGGAACTAAGCATAACGAAAAATTAATTAATCTCACAAAAGCTTGTGTAGAGAAGAACCGAACAGAATAACGAGACAGAATAGGGCAGAACGTGACAATGGATTCAGTAAAACATTTCAATTGTTCGTTATTTAAGGATAACGCCGCTGCATAACACAGCCGTACAGAGTACGAACTCGCCGAGAATTGGAAGAATTATATAACCAGCCAAATTTACTAAAAATAATTAAGGCAGAAAGATTAAGATGGGCTGGCCATGTCAAGAGATAAAATAAGGTTGTCGTAAAGCTGGTCTGACAATAAAACCCGAGAGGAAAGCGACCGCAAGGATGTGGTTGACCAAAACTTTTAATGTGTTTTTTTGTGGAGTTTTTTAGTGTGCTGTTTTTTTAGAAACTTGAGCTTTTTAAAATATGAAGAAAAAAATTGTATTTCTTGACCAATGAGATTCCTCTTTTGTAGGGATACTTTTTAAATGTTGACCATAGCTCTGAAGATGGCTTTGTAAGCCGAATACGCTCAGCTATGAATTAAGTATTTTACACACCTTTTAAAATACTTTTATTTTCAATTCATAAGCGAAATATTAATTTAATTTTTAAGCGAATACCTATTATTAGATTACATTTTTAATACATATTATTAAATTTAGTAATTTTATTTTATTTTTATTTTTCAGAGTCCAGTCACCTTAGTGATTCTGGCTCTGGGTATTGGCAACTTCAGCTCGATCGTGATCTAGTAGATACCATATCTGCGATATATCCTGAGTGGTTTCGTAACAACATGGCTGAAGGGGAGGATCCCCCACCAGCCCCAGGGAGTCACCTCCTAAGGCTGTAATCGATACTTCTCCCCATTGCGATTGATCAAAATAAAGAATGTAAGTATGATTAAAGTATAATACCTTATAGTAGTAATAATATGACAACATAAAAAAATCATACTTTTACAGCGTTTTATGATTCTATGATATTAAAAGTTTAAAAAATAGTTCGTGAACATCAAATATCGACGCGTTCACCGTTGTTCTTAGCAATTATGTTTTAATACAATTTTCCTCGATGCTATTGACGAATCTAGTCACAATATACAAACATTGTAGATACATCGAATTACATAGACTGGATATCACCATCATCATCATCATTTAGCTTATAAATGTATCCACTGCTGTTCTTAAATGCTTCCATATATCTCTATCCTGAGCACTGTATATCCAGTTTGTATGTTTATGTCGTAAATCGTCATTACATCTTGCAGAACGCCTCTATTTCTAAAAGTTTTTTTTCTGGATGTTCATTCAATAATTCTTTTAGTCCACCTGTTATCGTTAATTCTCGTGACACGCCCTGTCCAATTGGATTTTACGGTTGTTATTTTTTTCACGGCATCTTGAGCTCGGGTTCTTCGGATTTCTGTTTATCACAGGAATAAACCCAAGTTTATCTATGTTTTGTTACAGGAATAAAAGGTACGAAAAAGAAATTTTGCTCTAAATAGACTGAAAAAAAAAAATAAGTAAAGCCATAAAAAATTAATGGCAGAATGAAGGGAACTAATATATAGGCCTTAAAAAGGCCATTAGAAGCGATGTGAGACAATATAATAAAAAGTATACTATCAAAATAATAGAAGAGAATAAAAGTTTAAAAGTCCTTAGACCAAAAATGTTTTATAGTAGAAAAAACATCTGCATAATAACAAACACAAGAGGGCAAACAGTAACAAATGGGAAAAGTCCTGGATATACGGTGGGTTTTTACAAAGAATTGTATGAAAAACACTAAGAATGTATGACAGTTACCACAATATGCCTTTTCATTAATCAAAGATCAGAGGGCATACCTGAAATTACTGTGTGAATGATAAGAAATGTACTCGCTGACACGAAAAGCAACAAAGTGTCCGGAAGGCGAAATAGAAATCAAATCGTAAAAGTAGGTGGGCAGACTATAGAACAAGATCTCACTGCAGGATTACTACTTCATTACGTAGTTCATCAAACTAACATTTCTACATACATTTAAAATTAGAATACATTGATAATAGGTTGTCGGTAAAAATTGACCGCAAATTAATTTTTAACAAAAACTTTTTTTCGTTTATTTATTTTTTAATAATTTTAATAAAATACACAACTTATGACGCACATGCATGTTTTTTATATAAAAGTAAAGCTAATTTTTTACTTAATATGATAATATAAGGTTGCCTAAGAAAAATGGTCGCAAATTAGGGTTGCTGACTGTTAAAAATGCGAGGTATCAAAGAAAAGGGAAAAGAGAGTTAGTGCGCAACACACACGGTTTGACAAGTGATAATATGTATATTATTATATATCTATCGACACATCCTTTAAAAACTGACACAACGGGCATTTAAACCCAGTAGCATTGCGCGCTACTTTTACTTTATTTTTGATACCTCGCGTTTTTGAGGTATCAAAAGAAAAAAAATCAAACAGCTGGAAACCCTAATTTTCGACCATGTTTTCTCAAGCAAACTTATCATTATAAGAAAAACATTAGTTTAATGTGATATAAAAAAACTATACGTCATAAGCAGCGTATTTTATTAAAAAAATAAACGAACGCAATAAATGTTCTCAAAAGTTAATTGCTGTTAATTGAATTAAACATATTTGCAGCTACTTTTCGACTGACAACTTATTATCAATGTATTCTCCTAATTTTTAATGTATGTATAAATGTATATGTACTACTACAAGCACTAAAAGCTCTATTCAATTAGTGTATTGTGGAAGGAATAACACCAGATCAGTGGAACTAATTTAATTATTGTACTCACACATGAAAAAGGAGATATAACAAACTTGGAAACTACCTAACCATAAGCTTGTTATCACATGTATACAAAGTATGCACGAGGATTATTACCAAGTCACTAAATTCTAAGCTAGATCGGTATCAACCACATGAGCAGGTAGGATTTAGCATCAGGATATGGCACAAATGATCACATAAAAGAGCCTTATTGAAAAAAGTATGCACTATGAGAAAGTGTTTGATACAATCTACCAACATACGAAAGGTTGTTATTTATATTTCTGGTCTAACCATGAAAAATCAATATTGTTCTGAAACTATTTTCTTGTGTCATTTTAAAGTAATTACTATTTTAATGGGAATAAGCCACAATTGAAAGTTAAAATAAGTTTATTGATGTTTCAATCTCCACTTCGGAAATCGTTCTAAAAAAAAACAAACATCAATAATAAACATTATTAAAATAATAAATGAAAAAGCAAGTATTTATGGTCGAAAATGGCTGTATTGGTTTTCAAAATATTCTCCATAAAAATCAATACACTTTTGCATGAGTTTGAACCAATTTTCGAAACGCATTTTATACTCAGATTGATGGGTAAACTCCAAAACATGGGTTTTGAACGCTTTAACCGCTGTTCGGGTGTCGAAAATCGTTGACCACGCAATTTATTTTTGATGTACAGGAATAAAAAAAGTCGTTGGGTGCCAAATCTGGACTGTACGGCGGATGACCCGTTAATTCGATATTGGGGTTGGTAAAAAACTCCGTTATGTGTGCTGATGTATGTGAGCTTGCATTGTCGTGGTGAAGAACGATTCGTCTGTTCTTATTATTTTTCTGAATTTCACTATAAACTTCTGGCAAATAAATGGTTGCGTACCATTCAGAATTGACCTTATTACGTTCCTGTAATAGCACTGTAGCTACATGACCATTTTTTACGAAAGAAACAAGCAACCATTTGTTTCGTTGTGTTTCTTCCACCAACAATTTTGTTAGATTTGGTTCATCTTGGAACACCCATACTGTCGATTGATATTTTATTTCGAGCTCATATGCATATATAGGCTCATGTTCATGTTTTGTCACCTGTGTAGATGTTATACAGCAGTTGATGCAGCGTGATCTCATTTCTTCAACATTTCCTTGCACCAATTGACACGAGTCTCTTTTTGACCTTTTGTTAGATTAAGTGGGATCCCAACGTGAACAAATTTTACCAATTAACGAGATGAAAATTTTACGAACAATAAAGGGGAACACATTAAATGAAAAGATACATAACGGAGAATACTCGAAGAAAATTAGGAGTGCAGGACGTGGTCAGATGGGTAAGAGCCAGGAGAAGCTGCTGGAGAGATCACACAGAATGAATGGGTTCAGATCGAATTGCAAAGTAGGCCAAAACACAAAAACGAGAATCAAAACGTCCATTTAGTAGGCCCCAAAACGTCGTCCAGCTGGTAGGCCCCCAAAATAGCTGAGCATCAATATCACAAGAAGACAGAGGACAGAAATGACAGGACCTCGTCCTATTACAAGAAGATAATATTTGTGTGTTATGAGTGAACATTTCACATAGATTCTATATTTTTAAAATCTTATCGGTATATTACCATGTATTGCTACGCACTATATAAATAAATTATAATTTGTTTAATTTTTATTTTGAGAACGATTTCCGGGACGAAGTATTTTTAATTAAAATTGTGGTTTAATTCTTCCATGTCATGGACTATAATAATTGTTACTGATGTGATTAGCCTTTAGTTTACGACAACAGTAACGGCTTGTAAAAAACCGACGAGTAGGGGAATATACACAATATTTCCCACTTACTCTTTCCTACACTTAGATGGCGTGTGGAAGACACTTGTTGTTGTCTGCTGTTAAGTTAGGTAATGAAGAAAATTTGCTGGAAAATTTTGCTCTTGTTTTTGGAACTTGAAACAGATACTCCAGAGACTTTAACGAATCACGAATTGCTGTGTTACTTGTAATTTTTTAGTTGCTGTTGTTGCCATCCTCATTTGTGTCCTGTTTTGACAACATTTTGTCCACCCATTCACAGAGTTCATCAAATTGTTTACCTGTAGTTCTCTAAAAAATTTTATGTCTCAGGAGCTTCGTTCTTCAGCTCTTTCGGTAAAGTATTTGATGCACCATAACCAATACGTCTTCTTTTCCATTGTTTCATCCACACGTTTCTCTTATGCACTTTTCGTTCGTGTTTTGTCATCTAACTAACTCATTTTTAATCAGCTTAGCTACAATTCCACTTCCGCTAGTTCTTGTGGCCTCTGTCATTCATGCACCTTCATTTTCATCATCATCAACCTGTATGCGTCCAATGCCGGATATAGGTCTCCCTCAGCTCTTTACATCTGTCTCTGTCTTGTGCGGCTTGCATCCAGTTATTGCTAACACGCTTCAGGTCGTCAGTCCATCTAGTTGGTGGGCGTCGTCTGCTCCGTATTACTTCTTGTCTTGGTCTCCACTCTAATATACGTTTTGTCCATCGGTTGTCTGATAATCTGGCGACGTGTCCTTCCCAATTCTATTTTAACGACGCGATTTTTTCCATGGCGTCTGTTGTTTTTGTTCTATGACTTCATTTGGGGTTCGGTCCTCATGTTCGGACTTCATGTGATCTTTATTTGGGATTCGGTCTCTCAGAGAGACACCAAACATCTGGAGCTCCATATCCCTCTGAATCACGCGAATCTTATTCACTACCTTTTTTGTGAGTTTTAAAGTTTCCGCTCCATAAGTAATTAATTACAGGTAACACACATTGGTCAAAGATTTTCCTTTTGAGGCATATGGATAGGTCCGATTTAAATACATAGTTTAATTTACCCAACGTTATCCAGGCTAATCCTATGCAACGTGGGAGCTTACATGTCTGGTTATCTCTGACCAACCGAATTTCGTGTCCTAAGTACTTATACGATGTAGTCTGCAGTCTGCACAATACCCTTTCATCATCATCATTGGCTTTTACAACTCTTCGTGAGTTTTTGCCGCGTTTACTATTGCCTTCCATTGATTCCGATCCTGTGCTATTATTTCCCATGGCCTTACTTCCAT